TGCCTCCCCCCCCCTTCCCACTTCCCTCGCTCTTGCCCTGGGGCCGGCTTCCTGCCTGACTCCTGCACACAGAGGGCAGGGAGGCAGCTGAGCGCCACGGAGCAGCGAGGGAACAAGGGCAGCGTTTCCTCTTTGCATGCGAAGCTCCTGGCTTCCTCTGGTTTCGCTGAAGTTCATGCTGGTTTATCTCAGGGGTGGTAAGCGGACCCCCTACACGTGTCTTATCTTCATGACCTGGTACCCCGGTGCCCTCGGAGGGCGTGAGGTCGGAGGATGCGGCTGGAGCCACCGGGGAGGGACAATTGAGGTCGCCATCCACCCGGGGAAGGTCACCGTCTGTCTGCCCAGGAGCTGGCGGGCGCGCACAGAGCCCTGCCCCCTGGGACCCGAGGGCTGAGCAGTGGGCATGCGCAGGTGCTGGTTTCAGTTGGGTGTGGAGACCGTGGGCATGTTTTGGAGCTGCCGACGGCGTGAGGAGGGAAGACCTCTCTCTACTCCAAACCGTTTCTTCTGGTTGGCTGGGCCTTTTTTTTTCCCTCTTAATATTTTTTTAATTAATTTTAGAGAGGAAGGGAGAGGGAGAGACCCGTCTGCCTTTTGGGCGAGGCTGCACAGACGCAATGTGTCCCTCACCCATAGGCACCTGCGCCCTGGCTCCCTGCTCCTCTCCCCCCCCGCCCCTCTTTGCATGCGAAGCTCCTGGCTTCCTCTGGTTTCGCTGAAGTTCATGCTGGTTTATCTCAGGGGTGGTAAGCGGACCCCCTACACGTGTCTTATCTTCATGACCTGGTACCCCGGTGCCCTCGGAGGGCGTGAGGTCGGAGGATGCGGCTGGAGGCACGGGGGAGGGACGATTGAGGTCACCGTCCACCCGGGCAGATCGCTGTCCACCGGGCAGGTCGCCGTCTGTCTGCCCAGGAGCTGGCGGGCGCGCACAGAGCCCTGCCCCCTGGGACCCGAGGGCTGAGCAGTGGGCATGCGCAGGCACTGGTTTCAGTTGGGTGTGGAGAACGGGGGCATGTTTTGGAGCTGCCGGCGGCGTGAGGAGGGAAGACCTCTCTCTACTCCAAACCATTTCTTCTGGTTGGCTGGGCCTTGTTTTTCTCTCTCAATATTTTTTTATTGATTTCAGAGAGGAAGGGAGAGGGAGAGAAAAATAGAAACATCAATGATGAGAGAGAATCATTGACCAGCTGCCTCCTGCACCCAGCTGGGGATCAAGCCCGCAACCCGGGCATGTGCCCTGACTGGGAATCGAACCCGGGACCCTTCAGTCCTCAGGCTGATGCTCTATCCACTGAGCCGAACTGGCTAGGGTTGGTTGGGCCTTCTTGATTCATAAGAAGAAAATTTGGATGGGTAGCTATTTTAGGAATTCCCATTGAAAACAGCAAGTAAGTGTTTAGGGTTTTCCTTCCTTTCTATCCTTTCTTATTTTATTTATTTTATTTTATGATTTTCTGCTCCTCTTTGGGGTTGGAATGAGCTTTGAAAGGGACAGCTGTGCCCAGAGGTGGCAGGGTCGTCAGACTCGGTAGGGGGTCTGCCCACTTCTCCGTGGCCTCCGCCCAGAATGAGGCCCAGAGCACAGACAAGCCGGGTGACCTTGGGCAGCGTCAGCTGGGGTCCCCGGTCCCCGAGAGGAACTCGGTCCAGCAGCACCTCCTCCCTGTGCCCCCGGGAGCTGAAATGCCTGCGGGCTTCTCACTCAGCTGCCCCAGCTCCACCCCAGCGTGTTGTGTGGTACCCTCCCTCGTGTGTAAGTAGAGGAACGTTCTAGCCCGGCCGGTGTGACCCAGTGGTTGAGCATCGACCTATGAACCAGGAGGTCACGGTTGGATTCCTGGTCAGGGCACAGGCCAGGGTTGCGGGCTCGATCCCCATTGGGGGATGTGCAGGAGGCAACCGAACCATGATTCTCTCTCATCACTGATGTTTCCACCTCTCTCTTCCTCTCTGAAATCAATAAAAATATTTTTTAAAAAAATTAAATAGAGGGAAGTTCTAGAACACCCGCTTCCTCCCCATGCACGTGCCAGGCCCAGGCCCACCCAGGTGCAGAACCCGATCTCCCAGGAGCCAGAACCTGTCCCTGGTAGTCACGGCAACATCCCACCGGAGGCAGGGGGCACCCAGCCGCCCCGTCTTGGGAGCGTTGAGCCCCGATGCCAACACGTGGACAGTCTCAGCTCTGGGTTCCATCCCTTCACAGGCATCAGGGGGTCCCCAT